TGAAGGAATCCCTCAGTCTAAATCTTGTTTGTTCCTCTCCTACCAATCTTGATCTTGTATCCAGTTAAGTAGCATTACACAAAGATGTTTAACATGTAATTTGCTAATCATTTTTAATAAATGATTTGGGCAATAATTGTCAGGATCTTTTCTCTATCTTGATTCTGGGAACTGAGCCAAAGTGCCAATCAAGGTGCCCATCAATCAACATAAAATTAAATCTAATTATTAAAACCAAAGAACTTAGTTTTATGGGACAAAATCAGAAAATGGGGCCAATTAACTTTCAATCATTCAACAAGTTGTGTGACATCATGGACTAGTATGGCAAACAAGTCCAACATAATATCTATCTTTATTCCCATATCTGATAGTGCATAGTTTTATTGTCCTGCAGCATATGAACTTCAAGCCAGTCACATGGGCTTATCTTAGGGAACCTTTTGCAGCCACAATTAATTTTGATGCCATGAGGAAACTGACTTTATGAATGTTTATCTATATAATAGTTTCAAATGGGATGGCACTATACAGTATACAACAATAACAATAGCACTTAGACTTATATACCGCCCTCTCCAAGAGGTTTACAGAGTCAACATATTGCCCCCAACAATCTGGGTTCTCATATTACCAACCTCAGAAGGATGGAAGGCTAAGTCAACCTTGAGCCTGGTGAGTTTTGAACTGCCAAACTGCAGGCAGCCAGCACTCAGCAGAAATAGCCTGCAGTACTGCACTCTAACCCCTGCGCCACCATATACTGCCAATTTTGGCACTCATATTCAGATTTTTGTTTTAAAAAAAGTTATGCATTCCTTCAGTTTCTTATTTAAGCATGAGAACATAATTACATACCAGCTGTTCAGATGCCAAAAGTTTGAGAAATTTTTTGATGAAGTCAATTAGGCTCTGTATTGTTCGAGTTTTTTCTACAGTCCATTTCTTGGTCTTCATTATAGGAGTATCTCCAACAGCTTTGAGCAACACATCAACTAGAAAACAAAATATGTTGTAAATGAAAAACTGAAAAATCAAACATAATATGTGCTAAAGTATACTGAATCAAGTCTCAAAAATACAGAATGGGCTTTAGAGATAAAAGCAAACACCCTCATCTGTAATTTTTTCTTCCACTCAATCACATCAGATTCTCAGAGACTTTCTGGACAAGCCCCTGTAGCTTTCTCTGCAAGGTTTTTTAGAAATAGTTTGCCATTATCTCCTTCCTAAAGCAGAGAAAAAATGACAAGCCCAAGGTTGCCCAATTGGCTTTATGCCTGAGACAGAATTTGACATCCTAGTCTCCAGGTTTCTAGCCTGATGTCTGAACCACTACACCAAACTACTTCCCAATGGCTTATTATGCCAATTTGCATTGCTCTATTTAAAATATATATATTTAGAAGATAAAACCAAGATAAATCTCATGACCACAATAAATAGGAAATGATTAATCAAATAGTTATAAAAGAAATATCCAGCTCAGCTACCATACATACAGAATTTCTGCTAAAAACTGTAAAATAAAATGTAGTTGCAGAGGCTAAAATGTTTACTAACAACCTGTAATAATATAACATAATGGATTTGTGATAGCGATAAATTCCAAACCAGTGGTGAAATCCAAATTTTTTTATTACCGGTTCTGTGGGTGTGGTTTGGTGGGCGTGGCAGGATACTGCAAAATCTCCATTCCCACCCCACTCCAGGGGAAGGATACTACAAAATCTCCATTTCCTCCCCACTTCTGGGGGAAGGATATTGCAAAATCTCCATTCCCACCCCACTCTGGGGCCAGCCAGAGGTGGTATTTGCTGGTCTCCGAACTACTCAAAATTTCTGCTGCTGGTTAGAACCAAAATTATGTTTTGAAGATGATGAAGGTAGGATTTTGATGGTGGAAATAAAAATGAACTTAAAACAAATATTACTTATTGCAGTATATGGACCAGATGAAAAACGAGAAGAATTTTATCGAAGATTACACAAAAAATATTAGAACTGGATTATGAATATATATGTATAATGGGTGATTTTAATGCCATAGTAGAGGTGGACTTGGACTATAAAACAACGAAGACTAATAAAAAGTCTAGAAGAATATTGCCGAGATCTTTTTTTACAGTGATGGCAGAATTGAGTATTCAAGATATATGGAGACAAAAGCATTTGAAAGAAAAGCAATATACTTTTTATTCAAATAGACACTTACCATGGGCGAGGTTAGATATGATATGGATGTCAACAGAATTTATGGATAATATTCAGGCAGCAAATATTGACTCAAATATTTGGGCGGATCATAACCCAATGGTCAAAAGAAAAAGACAAGATGGACTTTAAATGCAATAATATTAAATGAAAAAAATTTTCAACAGCTTATGGAAAAAGAATTAGAGTTTTTCTTTAAAGTAAATAAAAAAGAGGACATATCACTTCAGATTGTATGGGACACTATGAAAGCTTATATTAGAGGTCTGGCAATAACTTATTTGGGAAAAAAGTATATAAAGAAAAGACAAAAACAGATAAGACTGGAAGAGGAGTATAAGAAATTAGAAAAAGAACTCCAAAAAGATATACAAAATAAAAAAATTAAGAAGTTGATGGAAGTGAAAAAATATGAAATAAATTTAAATGAGTAGGAACAATTAGCAAATAAATTAAGAGCAACTAAACAGAACTTTTTTTGAAAATGCAGATAAACCAGGAAGATGTTTAGCATATAAATTGAAAAAAGAGAAGGAGAAAAAGGTGACAAAATATTTACAAGATGAAGAGGGGACAATATGTTACAGAAATGAGGAAAAGAAGATGATAATTCAAAAATACTATAAAAAACTTTTCTCTCAAGAAAAAATTTCACCCCTGTTCCAAACGCAAGAGGGTAATACAACCCTGTCCCCATCATTGCCTTTCTTATTCTTGCCCAGCTTATCCTTCAACTGCAAGTAAAAGAAGATGGTCCCTTTTGCCGATTTAAAATAGAGATGAGCTGAAATGGGATTAAGGTCACAATGAAGTATATGGCATTCTTTATGATTTTAAAATGGACCTTGCACATTCCAAGATATAGGTAATTCTAAAATCTAATAAAAATGTCACATGCACAGTATCAGAAAGAGAAAGGACTGCCACCGGAAGAGCATGTAATTAGAAAAATATTAAAAAGAGAACTCGGAATATTACATGGTGTGGGAAATGTGGTATAAGTGGATGGAAGATAAAAGTAAAAGGTAGAATAAGGGAGGGTAAATTAGGGAACACCATGTATATAATTTGTATATATTCATGAACACCGCTAAACCGAAAACTGTTGAATTGTATTATCATGTAATTCAATAAAAATTATATTAAAAGAAAAGTCACATATTGCCATGCATCTAACAGCTTCTCTTCATTGGAAAGATGCAAATCAGCAACTTTTCAAAGGGCTCCGGACACTACTCCATGATGATGGCTAAAGGTACTTTGCATGTGGCCCTAAGCTTGTACATTGTACTTTTAACTATATACTTTTTAAAAAAATAATAATTGACTTAACAGCTAGAAAAGAATTTAAGAGGAACCTGGCATCTATGAATAGTTTCAGTCAAACCAGTAAAGTTCTACTATTAATTTTCTCTGTCCCTAAATAAGCAAACTGTGAATTTATTATAATGATATAATCGCTCCAAACTCAATAGCAGAAAATATGACTTCAGCAACAGAGTGGCCAATGTCTGGAATGCACTACCTGACTCTGTGGTTTCACCCCAAAACCCAGTGGTGGGTTTCAAATTTTTTTTACTACCGGTTCTGTGGGTGTGGCTTGGTGGCCGTGGCATGGCTTGGTGGGCATAGCATGGAAAGGATACTGTAAAATCTCCATTCCCACTCCACTCCAGGGGAAGGATACTGCAAACTCCCCATTTCCTCCCGATCTGCTGGGACTCAGGAGGGAGAGAATAAATGGGGGCAGGGCCAACCAGAATTTTTACTACCGGTTTGCCAAACTACTCAAAATTGGGGCCACTGGTTCTCCAGAACTGGTCAGAACCTGCTGAAACCCACCTCTGCCAAAACCCCCCAAATTTTAACCTTAGACTGTCTACTGTAGACCTCACCCCATTCCTAAGAGGTCTGTAAAGGGCGTGCATAGCATGCCTGTCCTAATGTTCACCAGAGTGCCTAGCGTGCCTGTCCTAATGCTCCCTTTATTTGTATTCATTTTATGTATTCAATCCATGCTTATATACATTACCTAATACAGATGTCTTCAAACTTGGCAGCTTTAAGACTTGTGGACTTCAACTCCCAGAATTCTCCAGCCAACATAGCTAGCATAGCCACAGCTATGCTGGCTGGAGAATTCTGGGAGTTGAAGTCCACAAGTCTTAAAGCTGCCAAGTTTGAAGATCTCTGACCTAATACGTACTTGACAAATAAATAAAAATAAATAAAGAATAAAATTTAAAAAATGAGGCCTAGATCGGGGGAGGGGGGAGCACTTTCATGCAGACTCCGGGAATCACAAAGCGGAGAGGGGAACAATCAACAGGAAACTGGGAAGGTGAAAAAAGGCTGCTATATCTACGACGCCCAGTTTCCCGGGGCCGCCCCACCCTCCCGCCCTGCCCGACAGGTGATCTTTCCTCCTCCCGCCGGTTTACTTTTCTTCTTCGTGTCTCCCGTAGGTTCTTCGGCCACCGGGGAAAGAGCCGAGGGGGGAGTCGCGTCGAGGGCCCCTACCGCGACGGCTCCTCCTCCTCCATTTTCCGACGTTTCTTCTTCCCCACCTTCCCCTCGGCCCCCCTCCTCGGGAGAACAGCCAGGAGCCGCAGCAACCGGCAGTGTCTCCGGCTTCTCGCTGGTCTCCGACATAGTGATGGCGAAAGCGGAAGTGGCGCCCCTCCCCCGTCCCTTTCTCAACGTCTGACATTAGGAGCACGTGACGGTGAGTTCAGCCTTCGAGGGTTTGTTTGGGGTTTTTTTTGGTCCCCTCCCGGCCGCCGTTATCCCGAGTTAGTCAAGTGACGTTCTCCTTCGGCCTCCAGCCCGTAGAACGGTTCTGCCTCTTGACTCCGCCTTCGCTCGCTCGAGGCTTAGAGAGGGAGGGGACGGAGCGGAGGAGGGGAGGGGCTTTGCCGTGTCGCGCGCCGCAGAGTGGGGTACGCGAGCCCCCCTCCTCGCGCCTCAGTGGGGGGGATCTTCAACCGCCGCCCTCACCATGATTAAAGCGATCCTCATTTTCAACAACCATGGGAAGCCGCGCCTTTCCAAATTCTACCAGCGCTATGTGAGTGTCGGGAGGGGAGAGGCCGGCCTTGGGTAGCTGAGGGGAAGGGGGCTCCGTTCGCACGACACACACGGAAAACCATAAATTAGCCAGCTTTTAGTCTCCGGGGCGGGCGAGCCATGGGCTTAGCATTCGTAACGAGGCCAGGAAACGGGTTGAATGGGCGCCGTCCAAGCCGCCTGAAGGCACGGGTTGGGCTGGGAATGATTCGACGCCGTGACGAGGAAGTCAATGCGGGGCGGGCTGAAAAGTCTCCCCTCAGAATCCTTCGTCTTGCGGCGAGCGCCAGATTAAGGAACCCGATTCGGCTCTAGGAGGAGGAAAAGACGGAAGGGAGGCTGTTGGCTAAATGTTTACGTGTACAATAGCGCCTCTTCCCCCGGGTCGTATTCTTCAGGGTTTCTTATCCAGCGGCTTCTGCGCGAGAGGCGGAGAAGATAACGGCGGATCTCAGGTTGCACAGACGGCAGGCAACCTTCTGAGTTAGAGCAGTTGTTTCCAATACATCCAAGTGCCCATATTAATTCTCATAGGAAATATAAAGGACACACCTGAATAGGAGAAAATGTGAAGGAGGTTCAAGGAGGGTAAAACATTGGTTTATGTTTATAACTTTGCTTTACAAAGGAAAATTCAGGGGCGAAGTCAAAAGTAAAAAAAAAAAAAGAAATCTAAATTTTTATAAAATATATTATGACCGCTGTAGCAATCTGGTGTTTTCGAAACGTTTAGGGATTGCAGCTCTTGTTGTTCCCAGCCCGGTTGCTATGCAACTTTGCTCACCTGGAGCTTCCAACGTCTCACCATTGGCCAAATGGGCTGGGAATGATACAGGTTGTAATCTGATTTTGAAGCTTTTTTTTTTTTTTTAAAGATAAGGTAGGAAACAGGAGAGCCTGCTTGGATGCAATGAACTTCTCATGTTGCCTGAGAACTAAAGCTTTTTTCACATCAATGATATACGATGCTTAGCCAGCATTGAGATAACATAAGTTTATCCTGTGCACTGTTATTTATTTATTTATTTATTTATTTAATTTATTTATTTATTTTTAAATTTATAGACCGCCCTTCTCCCGAAGGACTCAGGGCCGTGTACAGCCAAAGTAAAAAACATAAATACAAACATTAAAAGCAATTTAAAAAGATATATATAAATTTGGCCCCAATGTTAAAAAACAATAACAAAACATATTAAAAACATTTAAAAAGCATTAAGCCAGCCCAGCTTGCTGAAAAAGGAAGGTCTTCAGGGCACGGCGGAAGGCACTGAGGTCTTGAATTCTTTGTATCTCTTTATAAATTAAAAAGTTGAGTGTTTAGCTTGCTGCTATTAGGTACCTGATGGGAGAGAGAAAACAACAGCAAATATATGTTTATCGAAGAGAAATGCAAAACTTAAGAGTTGCTTATTTTCTGTTAAAATTGGTATAATGTGGCTTTGCTGATATATAGAAAAATGTGTTTTTTCTACATGTAACCAACTGTGTATGATGGTATGTATGAATGTTTTGTTATGTAAATATGACAGTTCTGATTAGCACCATAGATATGCAATAAATCATGAATGTTTGTATGCTAGCTTCCTAAAGGAGTGGCTACATGTGAAAATATGTTTTTTTGGGAATTAAGCAGGACCATGGAGACAGCAAGGTTTTTCATAGTAGATGTTTATTTTATATGTTAAACTTATACACTGTCCATTTTATCCAAGAGACTCTGGACTGTTTACAAAAAAACATTTTTATTACAACATCTTTACTTATGCTGGTTAAAGTGCTACCAAATGCAACCAAAAGTGGCTTTGTGGCCAGAAAGTAAAAGATATGAAAAATATTTGTTATGGGTATTTGATAGGGAGTATTAAATAGAGTGATCAAGAACTTGGCATATCAGCCAAATTCCAAAGAATTTAGCCAACATTGGAACAAATTTGGATATTGAAGGGAACATCTGATTCACTAGGGTTATAAGATATAATTTTATATAGTGCAAAAACAAACTCTTACATGTATACACTCCAAATGCTCAATACAGCATACATTTTCACCTGGAGCAGCATTCCAAGGTATTTAAAGTCCCACAATGAATCTGAACTTTTTGAGGGTTTTAACATAAGTTTGTTTGGGTCTGACATTAACTGTGAGAACACAACAGCTTTTCAGTTGCTATTTAAGCTCTTCCCAAGGCCTTTTGCAAGCGTAAATAACACCCCCTTGTATTGAGTGTGCTTGATTCTTTTTCATTCCTGTCTGATTCTTGTCATCTTTTATTTTTGTCTCTTTCCTTTTGAAAGAAAATATTTTTACTTTTCAATCACCTAGAGTCACTGGGAAATGGATGGCTTACATTTTTAATAAATAATGTGGTTTTGTTATAAAAGTTGTGCTATATATGATAATAGAGGAATGCTTGTATTTGGAAACATCAGTATGTTTCCTTTCTTTTCAGAGTGAAGATATACAACAACAGATTATCAGAGAAACATTCCACTTAGTATCAAAACGTGATGAAAATGTTTGTAATTTCTTAGAAGGAGGCTTGTAAGTATGATCAAATTAGAAGCTAGACTCTCAAAGATTGAAAGAGAGAAATATGGAACCTATATAACTGGAAACATGGCATTTGGGTTCTTTCACACTTTTCTGATACCATTAGCTAGAAGCAGAATTTGAACCTTAAATCACAGGGATTGACATAGTTGAACTCCTTCATTGAAAAGCATGTAAATGTTTGGTTAGACCATTATTTATTGTGTGATCTTAAATCCTCATTAACACTCAGTTTGCAGATTCTTTCTCTTAGTCATTCTAGATCTTGCTAAGAACTTTCTAATTTTTTCATTTTTTATTGTGTGAACACGATATGTTTATAAAGGGGAGACTATGGTAAAATTTATCCTCACAGTGTTTCTATATCTACTATTGTGGAACATTTCTTATATATCAAAATAACAATAGTGTAAATATATATATTGAGATTATCATTAATTTTTTTATTAAATAAAATTTATGCAGTCTTCCAGAACTGAAAATCTTTATCACCTTTTAAATAATACCCTTGTTGAATAGCTGCCTTGTGCACAACAACTTTTGAATATCATTGTTGATCGATTCTACATATATTTGCATCTTTTTATTCAACGGGATGGAAAGCTATAACCTGCATGTGGTCTGCTATTCCAGCTCTCAGTCTTAGGCCTCTGACATTTAACAGCAAATAGTGCCAGCACCACCTTTTTCTGATTTAAAAAAAAGGAACCCAACATTTAAGTTTAAGCTAAGGCATATTGCTTCTGTTTTACTTAAACTACCCCCACCAAAGGTATAGTAACCGTTTCTCCCATGTGTTTAAAATAATGTATTTCTAAAAAACCTGCAGTTCCTGGCTGCAAAAAGATCGTCAATCCCATTGTAAAACATAAATCAGAGCATATATCTACTAGTATATTTAAATGCTTTGAATGTTAATGGTTTGCCTTTGACATCCTTCATTATTTTTTTTGCCACAATTATGCATCATGTTTTTCTCTCTTAGCTACCAACCAAGACCATTGGAATGTTGTTAATTGCTCTTTGATGCTGTATTCTGCTTTAGATTAATAGGTGGATCTGACAACAAATTGATATATCGCCATTATGCTACATTGTACTTTGTTTTCTGCGTTGATTCTTCAGAAAGTGAACTTGGGATTCTAGATCTAATACAAGTAAGTCATCTACGAGAGGGTCACAATATTGTATTCTGTCCTTGTTCTTTGGTTTTTTTTTTACTTGATAATGAAGATTAGAAATTCTGAGAAGTACTATTTTGCTAAAATAATACAGTAATTGGATGACAATTAAACTGATCTCTTATTCATTGACCTTACATTTTCAAATTTCTCAGTATTTTTATTTGAATATTTTCTCAGTGTTAAGTATTAATACAAGTATCAGGAAATAACTACAGTTGTAACATCCTAATGCAAAGGTTAAAGAGTTGATGTACGCTCCAAAACATCCTTTGGAATGTAAAAAAATCTTGGTCATATTTGTGATTGGAAAATGATATAATAAAATGAATATAAGATAGATAATTTTAAGTTTGTAAAAGATTACAGGTAGTCCTCGATTTACAATTACAACTGAACCCAAAATTTTTGTTGCTAAGCAAGACAGTTAAGTGAATTTTGCCGCATTTTATGATCTTTCTTGCCACAGTTCTTAAGTGAATTACTACAGTTGTTAACTTAATAACATGGTTGTTAAGTGAATCTGGCTTCCCAGTTGACTTTGCTTGTCAAAAGGTCACAAAAGGTGGTCATGTGACTCTGGGACACTGCAACCCTTATAAATACATGCCATTTTCCAAGCATCTAAATCCCGTGAAGTATTAGTACCGCTTTATAAATCCTTAGTAAGATCACATCTGGAATACTGCATCCAGCTTTGATCACCATGTTAAAAAAAGATGTTGGAAAAGGTGCAAAAAAAAAGCAACTAAGATGATTAAGGGCTTGGAGATAAAAACATGGAGAAAGGTTGCAGGAATTGGGATTACTAGTCTAGAGAAAAAAAGAACTAGGGGTGATATGATAGTATTCCCGTATTTGAGGGGCTGCCATAAAGAAGAGGGGGTCAACTTATTTTCCCAAGCACCCGAAGACAAGATAAGAAACAATGAAGGGAAACTAATCAAGGAGAGTAACAACCTAGAATTAAGGAGAAACTTTCTAACAGTGAGGACAATTGCCCAGTGGAACAGTTTGCCTTCAGAAGTTGTTGGTGCTTCATCAGTGGAGGTTTTTAAGAAAAGACTGGATAAGACATCTGAAATGATATACGGTCTCTTGCTTGAGCAGGGGGTTGTATTAGAAGACCGCCAATGTCCCTTCCAGCTCTATTCTGATTGATCACATGACTATGGGGATGCTGCAACAGTCCTAAGTATGAAAAACCATCATAACTCATTTTTTTCAGTGCCATTGTAACTTGGGTCAGTAAAAGAATGATTGTATGTTGACTATATGTAGTTCTCCATGATTTCAAAATATAATATATAATCATATTCTTTTGCTGTTGCAAAACAAAATTTGCATTTTGTTTATTTCACTTGCTTGCAAGTTTCCTATTCTCACATTGATATATTACCCAATAAAGGAGTAAGTATCTGGAGGAATGTAATTAAGGACAAAGCTGGAATTTTTGAAATCTGATGTTGCAACTGAGACTTATTTGGAAATTGTACTGCTTTTTAAAATTGTTTTAATTCAAGTTTAGGGATCGTGAGTTTCTTGGGATAGCATAAGTAGGATATGGTTTCTGTTATGGTATTATGAACAAGCTCATCCATAACTGGTCAAAACCACTTCTGGGCTGCCTACGTATAGAGATAGTCCTGTTCTTTTATTTATTTTGTGGCCACTAAGCTCATTAAGTGCATTTTTGGGTGGTTAACGTAAAAATAGAAAAAGTTAATGAAAATTAAAGAACAGCAATATAAACCAGTATAAGCAGAGCACAAAACGTTTTCAAAACCTAGAACGTCGTTCCAGGTAGACTTACTCCACATCCTACACCAGTTCTTTAGGAAGAAACCAACTGTTTAAAGTTTTATGGAAGCCTAGCATGATTGGGGCCTTTTGAATATCATGGAATATGCTGTAGTAAAGGGCAGGTGCCAGGACAGTGAAAGCAAAATTTGTGAGTCTCATTAGATCACATTGTTTCATTGGGGACACCAAGGCATGCTCATTCTGTCAGATCTAATGGGATGGAGAGAGAAAGTCAGAGATAAGTAGTCCTGCAAATCATGCTTTGAAGGGTTTTATTGGTATAAGCAACACTTGAATTCTTTCAGAAGCCTACAGGGAACCTTTGCAGTTTGCAGAGTAGCAGTTATTTATACTACTTCATTTTGAGCCAGTTGTATCTTCCAGGTGGTTTTCAAGGGAAGGCTTGCATAGATTGAATTGCATCTCTAGGCATCTTTTCTGCTGTCTCATCTCCTGTAGCATATTTGAACGAGAGGAAACTTTCTGGGATCCACAAGCAGAGAAAAATCCACATAGGTATAATCTATTTGAAGGTCATTGCCGCCTTGCTCCAGCTAGCAGTTGTAAGGCCCTGTGTCATGCCCCTGTTGGAGTCTGACTCTGAGATGGAAGAGGAACAGCTGACAGAGAGCAAGAGAGTGGCTCCATTGGCTGTGGAGGAAACTGGTGAAGGGCAAAGTCAGGCTGGGCAGAGCAGGGGAGAGTTAGAACAAGGGAGAGGGGGGTTTGATGAAGACCAAAGCCCATCCCCTCCTCATCCTAGGGCATGCAGGAAAGAACGGAGAAGAGAGCAACATGGGTTGCATGACTTATGAGGGAGAAAGGGCCCTGATCCCCTTCACAAGATACACCTGGAGCTGGAGTTTAAAAGGAGAGGCAAATGGAAGGGATGGTTGTCAGGAACAAAAGCTGAGTTCATGTTCGTGTTGACTGCTTTATCTGGGTTCCTGGCATCCTCCCAACTGGTTTAATTTATGGCTGTGCTACTTCAATTCTGGAATTCCTTATCTTGGTTGCCCTCCTGGATTAATTACCTGATCTTGCCCTGTTGGATTTATGGTTGGAAGTTTTGTCTGCTTACAGGTTTGTGGAAGGGTTTTTCACCAGACCGGAGAGTAAAGAGACATTGGGGGCAAAGTTTGGAGCTAATAAAGGGACTTATACTTATTTTCTGGCTATGTTGCCTTTGTGCTACACCACGGGTCATCACACCCTGTAAAACCATCTATCAGAGTTTCAGAAATGACAGTTTGTAATCCAACAGAGTCCATCAAGTATGTGTGGTAGATTGATTGAATAGGTACTTCCTGGGGGGGGGCTCCCACTTAGGCTTCTGTGAGTAATGCCTCTAATTATACTGTAATTATATTCTATATATAAGTGGGGTCATATGCTACCCCAGATAGCTTTGAATAAAATGTGAAGTTTTATACAATTTTTTTCTATTGCTTACATAAAGAAGATATCTCATACATTTTTCTCTGACTATACTTGGGCCTCCTAACTTCTGTGAATTAAATAATTGTTTTTTTATATATATAATAGGAATGTGCATACTTCTAAAATAATTTTGAAGTGTTTTGAATTCTGTGTGAGCAAGCATCTTTTTATTCCTTAAAATAACCCAACTTTTTTCAAGCTTTTATGCATACCTTTAAGAGTCTCACTAATTTGGTAACTGTTTCCTTAAAGCATGTACATTTTTTAGACTTTAAGTAAACATAAAAAGTAAAGGTCCGATTATTTTAATTCATAAAATAGCAGTGTGACAGCTATATGTGAGAGCTAATGCTCTTTTTAAAAAACATGTACTACCCTAATATATAAACTTGTTAACTGTTGGTTTCAGAATAAAGCAGTAGAGGGAGCTAGGTGCTAACCTACCATTAGAGTCTAATTTTACTTACTTTTCTGATTGCGGGGATTTGAAAATGAATGTCCCTTTATTCACTGACAAACAACAAAGTATGTTTTTAGTGGCTTCCATTCATCTGTGCAGTTGAAAGCATACGTTTGCAGCTATGTAACTTTAATTTCTATAATCTCGCTGGCTTAATTTTCCATCAGTCTTTTTGTGTGCACTGTTTTAGTTTTTAAAATGCTGCCTACATACTACGTTGTGAATTGTAGAATTAAGAATTGTTAACATCACTACCAGAAAATGCTTAGTTGTGCACACACTTGAATGCTCTTATTTTATCCTATTTCAATAATACTTTTAGATGGATAATTTCTCTTAGTGTAACTTTTCTCTTTAGCTAAAAGCTATTTTGACATTAGGCTTAGAATATTTGTAATATACCCACATCATTATAATTTGATGTGTTTTATTCCATCTCCTTGCACCAGAAAGCAACAACTCAAATCCACAACACTGGGAGAATTAATTCTTACATAGTCAGGATTTTTTAAAATTAGATCTGTTTGTTATCATAACAAGAGCCAAGTGGAATGGCTCCTGCCTCAAAGAGCTCATGTAATTCATTGCATAAGGTGGATAGGAGACAGAGGTACAAACAACAGAGGTCCACAATATACAAAACTTGCTGTCAATATACAGCAGCTAAAGGAATTATTTCATATTACTTCATAGCTTTTTCTACAGTGAAGATATTTATAAGAAATTACTGGAGTCTTTTGTGGCATTTCCATTCAATCCTGTTGGGGAAAACTTGACATGCACAGCTGTTCTAAGGCTATCACAAAATACATATTCCCAGAAATGTCTTTTGCAAATGCACAGAGATACTCAAAAGATCTCAGGAGGACATTAAAACAACTGCATTGAACCTTCAAATATCTGCTGCATAGCTTCAAGCAGCAGATCCAGAGCAAAATATTTCCTCAAATGATTTTCATTGTTCTAAATTTTTGGGAAAACAGACCAGAGAAGCAATTTTGTTGCTGCTATTTGAGTTTAACAAGCAACAGAAAGCAGGATATTATTACAGCAAAATTAGAGATTTATGCCAGTGTGATACTTACCGTACATTTCTCAGATTTCTAATTAAAAAACCTACCATACACTAAAATTAAAGTTTAATATGTTGTGTAGATTGCAAATAGGATACTTTTTTCTAGTACTTAACAAACAGGTGTCTTTACAAATAGTGGAAATCTGACTGTACAGTTTGATAAAGTTCATATATGAAGACATAAATAATAAACATAAGTAATCAAAAATCCACATGGGGGATTAAGTCCAGCAAACAAAAATGAGAGATGATATAAGTGAATAATCTTGAGGTGAGTGAAGGAAATAGGCACTGGAAACAGGAACATAATGCTACAGATAAAGTTAATTCTCAGCAACTATGCATTTGTTAAGGGCTTATATGCAGAAATACTATTCTAAACTCAGTAGGGGTTCTACATATTCCATTAAAAGAAATGTCTACCGCCATTGGACTTTTTAGCCTTTTTTTTTTTTCCAATTCTGAATTAGCTTTCCTGTCTGGCAAAAATATTTGTCTCATTAAGGGATTGAGGATTGAGAAGTGTCAATCAGGGTCAAGGTGTCAGTTACAAACCCAAAATTCCAGGCCAAGTCTGAAGTCTGACAAAGAGCTGCCCTTGACATTGTACTTCTCATTCTCTGACAAGGATTCATTTGAAGAAATCATGACAACAGACAATGAACATTATAAGCTGGTTTTTAAAATATTGATTGATGAATAGGCTGTTATATCATGAAAATAAGGTAAAGTTAACATTTTTCCAATCTTCTAGTACTACAAAAAAGAATTTGCAAACCATTTCTGTTTTAGAATGCGTAAAAAAGCTGTGGCTATACTTAAAGCTATAGTTAAACTGAACAAGCCCAAACTGTCTAGCATATACCATATTTTTCGGACTATAAGACGTTTCGAAGTATAAGATGCACCTAGCTTTTGGGAAGGAAAACAAGGAAAAAAAAATTGTCTTTGCCTCCCAGCAATTTGCCTCCTTGCAGCAAACAGCATGATTTTGCACGAGCCTGATTTAGCATGAGTAGCTGATTGGTGTTTGGATCTGCCTCCCAGAATACCTATTAGCTGTTCCAGGCTGCAGGGATCGCCACTGCCCATCACCGCTACCACCTATTGCCGCCTCCACGCACCCCATTTTCCGCCTCCGCGCATTCTGTTTTCACCCTCTGCATGCCCCATTTTCGGGGACAAGTAGTAGACTAAAAATGATATTTTCAACAATAATTTAGCTCTTCTGCATTGTCAAAATAGGAGTTATTCTATTACACTTACATTTCTATGTAAGTGCTAGATCATTATGTTAATGAAATTTGATCTCTACCGGTACCCTTGCTTAATGACCATTCATACAGCAACTGTTTGAAGTTAAGACAGTGCTGAACAGGAGGGCTTATGACGAATCCTTGAAGTTGTGGCCATCACAGCATCCGCTGTCATGTGATCGCAATTCAGGCACTTGGCAACTCATGTACAATTATGACAGTCACAGTGTCTCACAGTTACATGATTGCTGTTTACAAGCTTTACCACAGGCTTCTGACAAGCAAAGTCAATGGGAAAGCCAGCAGGGAGTTGCAAGTGATGATCACATGATGTCATGCTTAACCGCTACCAGGACTATTATTATAAATTGGTGAGGTTGTGATTTTTTTCTGTATACAACCATGTCACTTAGGAACAAAACTGCCAGTCTGAATTGCAGTTATTAAGCAAGGACTACCTGTAATGTTTCTGAGATCTTCCAAGAGTCAAAGCATATAGATATATTTGACTTCCTGAATTCTTTATAGTAAAAAGTACTTGGTTTCCATGTTTGTTCATAATGTCGAGGTTGAGTTGCTATACCTTTGACCCTTTGTTTTTTTCGTCTACAGGTTTTTGTAGAAACTTTAGACAAGTGTTTTGAGAATGTCTGTGAACTGGATTTAATTTTCCATGTGGATAAGGTACTGTGGTGAGATGCTGTAACATAAAGTCATGATATTCTGATAAGAAACATTTGTTTCTGCCAGATGTTTCTGCTTCTATTAGATACCTTTTTTTCAAATTTCAATTATAGATATGGTAGTAATTTTTAGTTTACCAAAACATTAAATAACATATGTGGCATTCTAAAGCTTATCTGTAGAATTTCTTTGTAAAGAAGTGTAAAATGATTACCTGCAGTATATTCTAATTATTAAGAATGGAATCCTTTCATGCTTTATTTGAAATCAGCCTCTTGAATATTGTGTTAAAGATTCAGAAAACTATGCTGTAAATAAACTAAAAACAATGATTGTTCTTCCACATACAGTATTCTATTTGGAATAGTATGTTACTATCTCTTTTTTCAACTAATTAGAATGTTGTGGTAAAGGCAGGAGTGAAGAATACCTAATTTTCTTTTTATATTGAAATTTCTATAGTCAGCTATAATTTAACTGTCCAAGTGGGTTATACAATTTAGATAAGTAAAACTCTGTACCTATCCTGCAGACCTTTTCTGTTAACTCAGCACAGGCTTTCATAACCTTTGTACTCTCCCAATATGTGGATTTTAATCCCAAGAATTTTTAGCAGTGCTTTGATTGGGGAGTTGGAGAATTATGAGAAGTCCTCACATCAAAAAATCACCCAGATTGGGGCAGATTGGTTTAGTCATCTAGCGGAAAATAGTGGTATTCTGCTGTCAGCTTGTACCTGCTTGTGAGAGCCGATCGTTAAATTTTCAGGAATTTTGTGAATTGCTTGAGAGTAGAGCTGAGTTGTGACATCTAGTGTACCTATCAGCTGCTTGGTGACAGCATGGCAGTGACAGTGGAGCTGGCAGAGCCATTTGTTACACATTTATCATTATACTCCTAGGTGTCATCCCTGCCTTCTTTCATGAGTAACTTTTATCAAGACAAACATATTTTCAGTATTATATTAATAAAATGAAATCATACCTGAGACAATACATTATCCATAAGAAGAAAACTTTAAAAGCAAGTGAAGTCAAAATAAAGTGATAAATTGGTCATACAATATATCAAGACAGTGGTTTCTAACTATATGGTTTTTATGTATCATATACAAATGTTCTTTGAATTGCATAAATTATTTTAAAAAGTTAGTTTCAGTATCCCTGATTTTATTTTGCCTGTAGTGATCAATTGTCTGACACATGGTGTGAAAAGTTGATAAATTTTAATATCATTTTTTAAAAAAATCTCTCTTAGTTGATGTAGCAATCAGAACAATAAAATTCTTTTCATTAGATTTATATTCCACTTTTCTTCTAGGAATTCAAAGAGGTATGTATAATAGTCCTGTTCCCCCTACCACTCACATCAGCAATCAACGAGGTAGGTTAGGTTGATTTCAAGTGGCTGTCCCAAAGTCACCCAATGATTTTTCATAGCAGAGTTTGGACATGAATCTGAATATTTTTGGTGATACACTGCACTTGTACTTCACATGAAAGAAACATATTTGATTTATTACAAATGTTGTATTAGAAAAGTTGATTTATGTTAAGATAAGTATACTTTAGAAAAGCATAATAAAATATAACTGATGGATTGATATAATCTGTGCAACCATTTTTTATTGGGTGTTCTTTTTAGGTTCATAATATCCTGGCTGAAATGGTGATGGGTGGAATGGTTTTGGAGACCAACATGAATGAAATAGTCACCCAAATTGATGCTCAAAATAAACTGGAAAAATCTGAGGTAAGAATAAAAGGTAGTAAAGCCAGTTGGAGCATGATCATACAGTTGCATGATCCAAAATAATTATCTACTTGTTAATACTTGGCTATTTTGATTGCTACAAATTAGCATTTAGAATGTGGCATGATAAAGCCTTTGTTGAGTGCTTAAATAGCTGAACATTTCATTTTTCTTCTATCAGATTCCCATTTGCATTTATCTATAGAAATATTTCTGAGCTTCCTTCAGTCAAGGCTTCTGACTCTCAAAGCTTGTTTAAAATGGCGATAATCATAATTTACGTACTAGTGTACTTGTGGATACATTTTTTGTTGTGTACTACATTTTTGTTGTGCTGTACACAATTTGATATTAATGTTTTTAGATACATTTAATTAAAAGAATAAATGAGAAGCTAGCATGTTATAAAATATCAACCATTTTCTTTGTTTGGAAGTATCTTTTGTTTAATCTTCAGAAGCTAGAAAGTGTGGCAAAGAGCAGCCTAAAATATTTTAACTTCTGCTAAATTTTGTGTTAGAATAGTTCAGACCAATGTTTTTCAAATTTGGCAACTTTAAGTTCTGTGGACTTTCCACAATTACCCAGCTAGAATTCTGGGAGTTGAAGTCTACATCTTAAGCCAAGTCTGAAAAAGCTTTGACAGGTCATTTTTGAAAGTGCCCATAATACAGTCAGGTCCAGAAATATTGGGACATCGACACAATTCTAACATCTTTGGCTCTATACACCACCACAATGGAGTTGGAATGAAACAAATACAATGTGCGTTAACTGCAGACTGTCAGCTTTAATTTGAGGGTATGTACATCCAACTCAGGTGAACGGTGTAGGACTTACAGCAGTTTGCATATGTGCCTCCCACTTGTTAAGGGACCAAAAGTAATGGGACAGAATAATAATCATAAATCAAACTTTCCCTTTTTAATACTTTGTTGCAAATCCTTTGCAGTCAATCACAGCCTGAAGTCTGGAACGCATAGACATCACCAGACGCTGGGTTTCATCCCTGGTGATGCTCTGCCAGGCCTCTACTGCAACTGTCTTTAGTTCCTGCTTGTTCTTAGGGCATTTTCCCTTCAGTTTTGTCTTCAGCAAGTGAAATGCATGCTCAATGGGATTCAGGTCAGGTGATTGACTTGGCCATTGCATAACATTCCACTTCTGCCCCTTCAAAAACTCTTTGGTTGCTTTTGCAGTATGCTTTGGGTCATTGTCCATCTGCACTGTGAAGCGCTGTCCAATGAGTTCTGCAGCATTTGGCTGAATGTGAGCAGATAATATTGCCCGAAACACTTCAGAATTCATCCTGTCAGCAGTCACATCATCAATAAATACAAGAGAACCAGTTCCATTGGCAGCCATACATGCCCACGCCATGACACTACCACCACCATGCTTCACTAATGAGGTGGTATGCTTAGGATCATGAACAGTTCCTTTCCTTCTCCATACTCTTCTCTTCCCATCACTCTGGTACAAGTTGATCTTGGTCTCATCTGTCCATAGAATCTTGTTCCAGAACTATGAAGGCTTTGTTATATGTTATTTGGCAAACTCTAATCTGGCCTTCCTGTTTTTGAGGCTCACCAATGGTTTACATCTTGTGGTGAACGCTCTGTATTCACTCTGGTGAAGTCTTCTGGAGAGTGTTCTTGATCTGGCCAACTGTTGTGAAGGGTGTTTTCTTCACCAAGGAAAGAATTCTTCGGTCATCCACCACACTTGTTTTCTGTGGTCTCCCAGGTCTTTTGGTGTTGCTGAGCTCACCGGTGCATTCCTTCTTTTTGAGAATGTTTCAAACAGTTGTTTTGGCCACGTCTAATGTTCTTGCTATCTCTCTGATGGGTTTGTTTTGTTTCTTCAGCCTAATGATGGCTTGCTTCACTGATAGTGTCAGCTCTTTGGATCTCATCTTGAGAGTTGACAGCAACAGATTCCAAATGCAAATAGCGCACTTGAAATGAACTCTGGGCCTTTTATCTGCACATTGTAATTGGGGTAATGAGGGAATATCACACACCTGGCCATGGAACAGCTGAGAAGCCAATTGTCCCATTACTTTTGGTCCCTTAACAAGTGGGAGGCACATATGCAAACTGCTGTAAGTCCTACACCGTTCACCTGAGTTGGATGTACATACCCTCAAATTAAAGCTGACAGTCTGCAGTTAACGCACATTGTGTTTGTTTCATTCCAACTCCATTGTGGTGGTGTATAGAGCCAAAGATGTTAGAATTGTGTCGATGTCCCAATATTTCTGGACCTGACTGTATGTTCCCAGCATTCCAGATAAGCCTTCAGAGCAAAAAAAAAATTGAGGAAACCCTAAGAACCTTAGCTAATCCTAAAATACGATGTGTTATCATAGCATTACTTTTTCTTTTTTAAAAAAAGAGTAGTTTAATATATCTGGAGTTAAGTAAAAATGTTTGTTAAAGAATCAACAAAACTACTGATTTTCTTTCCACAAAATGGGGGTATAAAAAGAACTATAAATAACATCATGAATTCCATATACCAAATTAAATGAAACATTAAATAAATTTTCTATTCTTTTGCCTCTCAGTAACTTTATTTACTCTTTAGCAGCCCTGTGGAGAGAAGCTTTCTTCCTACCCCAGAACTACGTTCCTCTTCCTGCCCTCTCATGGCTATTTGCTTGCAAAAGAAAACCTGTCAAGATTGCAGCTATCTTAGTTTCAGTGACAAAAAACACCTTTGGTCAAGTCTTTAAATTCTAATTTGACCTAGTTATATACCATATTTACCCAAAAGGAAGAAACTGTAGGCAGCAATCTGCAAATAATCCAAGGGAATTGCTAGAACAGAAACAGGAGATTGACAAAAGCTGGTATCTACTGCTTTTGTCTCTCTTCAGAAAAATGCAGAGTCCATGAACATTTTCCATCTGCAATGTCAGCTACTTACTGTTGTCAAGGTCAGCTTTAAGCAAGCTACTTTCTAATTGTGGACTTGGGACATTTTTATCCTCTCATGATTCTTGGTAAGGCAGGCATAATGGATGGTTTGAATTCTTCTTTTCTTTTATCTTGCTACAGCAACTCATCTCTAGTGGAGGGCAACAAAAGGTTGGGACAGCTAGCATATTTTCCCATGACTTGTGCAAAAATATGGGTGGCTGGGAGGAAGAGATAAATGACAAAATGAACATGATGGCATCATCATGCAAATGTTGCAACTTATGTACATGCACAGACATCAAGGATGATTGCACCATTTATCTGATGTCACCGTGTGTAAATCATGATTGTGTCATTATCACAGTTTGCTATGGAGGCTACTAAAAAGAAATAGAGTGTTACTGGATTTCATACTGATTTTAAAAAGTCCTAAGTTTTCCTATTTGAGAGTAAATGTTATTGGTTAGAGTTTCACTCCCTGCAGAATAAGCACACACAAGATTTGTGCTTGCTGAGCACAGTGCAAAATATCAGTTGAGTTTTCTGCCATTTATATTTTTCTTTCTTTCCTTGGTTCAGCTACTTTCCATTGCTTCCTCTACATTCTGTTTTATCTTGCAATTTCATTTGCGTTTCTGCTACTTTATTTGCTATTTCTGCTAGAAAGAAAGAAGAGCATGTGTTGTGTGTGTGAGAGAGAAAACATATACATATGTGTGCATATGCAGGTAATTATCAATTTTATATACTGAAGAGGGGAGAGAGAGAGAGAAGCACATGCAAATATATGTGTTATATGTAAATATTTAATGGACCAGTAGAGAGGTAGACAATCTCCAGAATTAATTTCAATTAGATTGACTAAGGGTTATCTTCCTTTTGGGTAAATTTGTGATATAGAAACAGGTACATAAATATTGTGATATATAAATAGGTATTTGTACAGTATTTTTTATCTTTTTATAATTAATATATATATATAATACATGCTACATATAAAAAAGGTATCCCAATGATAAACTATTTTCAAGTAAATTACTTTGAAAATTCATAAAATCTCTATTCAACATTTGGTTGCATTTTTATCTTTTTTATTTAAGCTATTTTCTAGCTAAAGAGCTGTGCAGCACTGACTGAGAAGCACAGAAATTTGCATACCTATGCTACGAGGTTATATGCTGGGGCAAAAACTTAATAAAAGTATAATAAAATTGGAATCAGACTTGTCTAAATATATAGTAATTTCTTTGTGTGGTTCAAATGAGCTCTTTATTCTTTTTTGAAGTGCAGTTTTAGTAAACTATAAATATGTTCCTATTTATTAAATTATGTTTTAAGGGATTAACCTGTTCTGGAATTTTAAATAATGAAGTATTTCAGTGTAGTGGTCAGGTTAATCTTAATTTCTGTTGCCTCACTGAATGATTGTTTTCTGTGTATGCAAATTAAACTTGACAGATATTTAACAAAGTACTAATGGAACAGTACTTCACTACTTTTACTTTCTATCAGCGCTTATTACAGAGCAAAATAAATCAATAATGAAGAAAAGGCAATATAATCTCTGAATGAACTAACGAAACCCTTTAAAACCTCCTTGGTATTTACTTTGGAGAAGATACTGTTGTTTTCATGCCATTTCCTAATCCTAATCTTTGGCGTTTGATCCAAAATACCCCTTCTGCTTGCACACTATGTGTGCATGTTACTGATTCCTTCCCCATCCCACAACTGCACTGTATACTATCCTGAAGTGTAAGTGGAATGACTTTTTGGGATCGTGTTGGGCCCTGATGCATGCACAAAATACTGCATGTGGGTCTTTGAAACTACGTCATGACCCTATTATTTCCAGTTGATACTCAAATACCATTTTTTCAAATACATTCAATAGCAGTGTCAGCTTTGCTGCACTTTTAGGCAGCTGGGCTTCACTTCATAATCTAGCTAATAATCCTGGATAATTTTGTTCAAAGGGAGTGGCCTTGCTTTAAAATAAATGGGTAGACAACTTTACAAAGAACCGAAGGTCCTGCTTCCCCAACATATATCAACTGAAGTGGTAAAGCAGAAGTA